GCAAAAACCCTGCCAAAAGAACAAGAAAGAATATCACAGAGGCAGGTGGGACCTATGGCAAAACACTGCAGTGTTAAACGCTCCCATGCAAGTTTCCAGCCGGCCATGCCCTTTCCTGAAATACTCCTCCATGGATCTATTTACGTGTGTTTTTTCTTCCTAGCTTTCCCTCAACAAGAGTCACACACAATCAGGTCTTTCCTTTTAAATCTTGAGGTCATCCCTCAACCAGATCAATATGCTCTTGTGCACATGGGCGGTTTCCCCTGTTACATAAACAACGGTGGTCACGGCATGAACACCAGAACGAAAGGGCAAGTTCTGCTCTGTTAAAGAGACTTGCCATCTGAATGGGGAAACAGAATGTATGCGTATGATTAAGATCACTTATGATTAAGTTAACTAACAACGTAGCTTTTCATTTTCCAAATGCTTTCACTTAAAACAAATGGAAGTCAAATGCTATGGAAGGCTTTGATTAAATATCGACACAGTAAAGGATATTCGTCAATAGATACGATTTGTTTGATAAGTTGCAAACTTCGGTGCTGTTGGGTAACGAGTGTGGAAGGTTTTGACGGAACAGAAGATCCACTTCTGGTGGAGAAAAGAAGGGCAAGTGTTGGCTTGTCAACAGAGCCAGCTAAAACGTTGGACTGTCCTCAAGAGCATTGCTGGATATGCTCTTCTGTATTTCCCGTTGCACCAACACCAAGATAGCATAAGACAGGCATGGGGGGGGGCTTTTCGCATTGGGGGCCACACGTTACCCTTGAAAGGGGCCCCTCTTTTCTTTCTCACAGTTACTGATAGTCTGCATTGTCCTTCTTTTTTTCTCCAACCCCCGAACCTGCTAATGTCTCGCTTTTGAACAAAGATGTTGCCATTTCCTACACTAATGCCTGGACACCATAAACAGGAAAGACAATTCTGTGGAGCCAGGGAAAAACACCTCACAGCCCTGGCCACGTGTCATTCGGCCAACAGAAAGCGAACATCCGCTTGTCCTTTCGTACAACCTTCCAGTCCCATTAACTCCAGGACCAAATTCCACACTGCATCTTCCCTCCAGCCTCTCACAGCATCCACAGCTAAGAATAGCTAACCTTCTCTGTGTTTATATTTTCAAAAAGCATCCAGTCCCTTTATGGAAGGAAAAAGCCCTTCATATAAATGAAAGTATGAGTCTGGATGGGCTCCAGGAGAAACCTGGCCTTCTGCCGGCTGAGTTGGCCATCGTTGGTCTGCATGCATCTCCAAGTCTAACCTCTAAGTAAAACCCATATCCCAGCCTGGCACTGAACAGATGCATTCCACAGTCGGAAGCTGCCCCACTTCATTTCTGCTGAGACATAAACTGAGTGGGGCTGCATGGACACGAAACTGCGGATTCATGCCTTGTTCATCCATCTCAGCGGTCCCTGGCTCCTCAGGAGACCCGAGGCAAGAGGAGCGCATGCTGAGCATGGAAGTCAAGTGCTACGGAAGAGGGGTCAAGCTGAGAACACTTAACCTTCCAGGGCACCATTCTCTGAGAATAAAATCCCTGGGAGAAACCAAGGCGATGTGCAGCCTTGGACTTGAGATGCTTGGCTATTAAGCTCCACCACATACCCCTGTGGCTGCCCCCTGAGCTCGCAAACGTTTCGTGGTCTTCCCCTGCCCTGAAACGAGCGAGCAGCGCTAAGCTCCCTGCACACAAAGCCCACCAGGACGGGGCAGGAGACAGAGCAGGACCTCATGGTCCTTCTCTAGGTGGTTTGAAGTAGATCTTCCAGGCTTTTGTTGGCTGCTCTGTGACTGCAATTCACGGAACTTCGAGGGTTCCTGACTCCCAATACATGAGCAAGAGCAAGAAAAGAACACAGCGTGATCACTGTGGGGCCCACGCGTCATCTCCTCGGCTCCTGAGGTTAGCAGACCATCACTGCAGTTCTACAGCGGAGACGGTTCAAGCGGTTCAAAGCATGACAAGCGAGGTCTTGATAGGGCCAGAGATGGGGGGCAGAGGACACCAGCCCTGCAACATCAGCACTAGGTCTGTGTTACCTCTGGGTCACAATTCATGGTTCCACGTTGGTCTACAATCGCCCAGTCATCTAAAGTTCACTATACTTGAAAGGCTTTCCATTCTGGATGTAAGTGATTAGAATCTGGGTTCTAGTATAGGTTATTGGCCGTGAAGCTGACTGGGTGACCTTGGGCCAGTTATGGACTGTCCACCTCACCCACCTCACAGGGTTGTTGTGAGGAGAAACTGGAGAGGAAGGGGACTGTGTTAAGCTGCCTTGGATTCCTTGTGAGAGGCAGGGTATAAATGTAATATGACAAAAAAAATGTACATGCAGATATATAAACACATAGCACTGAGAGGGAGGGAGAGAGAAGCACCAAGCAATTTTAAATAACCAAAAAAAAGGACCTGATTAAAACCCCACCATGTGCCATCACATGTCTGAAAGAAGAGAAAGGACTTAACATAGCCCCAAAAAGATCACCATATTTGCATCTGGAGGGCCTTGCTGAGATCATTCTGCATCTGGAGGCCCAACACCAGAAAGGCCCTCTCCCTTGCTGCTGCCTTCTAAGCTTCCCTTGGCAGAGGCACCTGAAGGAGGGCCTTAGATGATGAACTTAGAGCAGAGACAGGTTCAGGCCAGGAGTACTGCTGCCAGGTTTGCAATCCTGTGATTTGGGGGTTTTATTTTAAATTATTTATTTGTTTGTCTGTTTATTTAATTTATATCCTGCTTTTTTAAACAAAGGCTCAAAGTGGCTTACATCATTCCCCTCCTGCTCTCCATCTTACCCTTTTTTAAACTTTTATGACGGCAAACAGCATCTACCAGTTGAGTGCTGCATAAATTTAATAAATATCGGTCCACATAGCCCAATGTTGTCAACACTGACTGGCAGCCACTCTCAGGGACTTTAAGGCAATGGCCTTCTCTCCAGCCCTATTTGTAGATACCAGGCACTGAAACTGGGATCTCCCATGAGCAAAGCAGCTCCTCCACCACCACCAAACTGGGACCTTTCTCAAAGTATTAGCTGCCTTGTACTGCTTTAGGGCATCGGTCTGCCCAGTCCTCCGTCATCCACTGTCCGGCAGGGTTTCAGGCAGGGTTTTCCCAGCCCTCCCTGGAGATGCTGAGGCCTGCGCCCGGGACCTCTTGCACCCAGGCATGTGCTCTTCCACTGAGCAATAGTTCTTCCCCAGCCGTGACATCCAGCAAGGAGCCCATCAAGGCCGGCGCGAGGGGAGCCATGTGGGCGAGCACTGGGCACGCCCAGCCCAGATGAGGCATCCTGGCCAGCCCTCAAGGGTTGGGCCTGGGTTGTCCTTGCAAGACAGGCTGCTGCTGAACTGTGAGTTCCCATGTCGTGCGGCTGGTTGCCTTCATCCACGGTTCGTTAGTGTGGGTGGCTTCAGGCAATAGGATAACACTCCGTTCAGCCACCATGCCTGTTTCAAGGACAACCCAGACTCAACCCTTGCTTGCAGGTTATTGTGCTGTCTGAACCCTGCCAACCCACCCAACGAATTGCTCAATGGCCGACGAAAGGAGAACCCACATTTATCTTGGATTGCAAAATTAATAATGCACCACCCGGCATGGCCAGGGTTGCAACAACATTTGTTGCTCATTCTGATGGTGGAGAACATCTAGAATAGATACACATTCTGAAGACAATTTGCTTGTGAGCAATTGTAATTTGATCCACCCGTGCAAACCAAGTATCAACATTATGATTATATACGCAATTTGAAAATCAGGTAATCAAAAGACGAACGTTGCCATTTGGCTTAGAGTTGAGCTTAGACACCAGGAGAACACCAGAGCTTTGCTCAGGGTTCAGGCACCCAAGGCCAGAAGCCCCAGCATCCCTCAGCCTGACTACATCACTCTCATTGCCTGGAGATTTTCCCAGTGATGACCCAGAGAATCATTCCAGAAATGGCCTTGTAAGGCACCATGAAGGGAGAGGAACTGGATCAAAAGCGAATTTGAGGTCCTCCTAGTCAACTCCTCTCTCACCATCCCCTAAAAGTGCAATTGTGCCTCATCACTACTGGTTGACATTGAAACACCTCTGGACTTCCTTCCAACCTGAAGGTCCACTCGACCCACCCAAGTCTAGAGTTAGCCGACACGCAGCGAGAAGCGCTAGCTCCCTTGCTCCACCCCACACCCCGAGATCCCAACACTTTAACACACGCCTGCTGTTTGCAGCACCTGTGCTGACGCCCCCTTCTTGTGGCAGGTGAGGGGTGAGCAGGATAAAAACGGGTCCACATGCAGAGAAGTCAGGAGATGCCACAGATCAGTAAAGTAGACCCAAATGCCCACAGAACCATTTTTCCAGGCTCTCTCAAGCTAAGCCCAGCAGCACATCACGCCGTGTGTGAAGCAGTCTTTCCTACAAAGGCATCATTCTACAATGCCTCTTGGTCTCTAAAGCAACACACACACACACACACACACACACACACAGAGAGAGAGAGAGAGAGAGAGAGAGAGAGAGAGAGAGAGGGAGAGAGAGAGAGGGAGAGAGAGAGAGAGGGAGAGAGAGGCACATCAGAATGCTTCCAAAGTTACCCCCATCTCACATATGGAGAAACTTTTGGCACAGAATCCATCTCTTTGACCCATGTGCAAATTGCAAAGACCCATGCCTAATCAGGACTGACACCAGCTGGGGACAACAGTGACAGCCTGGTCTTGAAATGAAGACCCTTACTGATTGAGGTGGGGGCCAATGGAGGGACAGGATGCAGGCTGCAATTTCAGGGAGTTTTCAGCAAAAGCAGGAAGCCGCAAACGGCAGGTGGGGAGTTAGCCACAGACCGACAGGTGTTTGGACGAAGGCAGGCTGAGACAGGGAAAGAGAGCAGTGGAGATGCTTAACCACAATCACACCAAGCCACCCACTTCTTCCAGGGGTCCCTATCCCCCCACCCCCCTGCCTACAGACACACCACACTTGCTCCGGCTCACCTGCTGTGCCTGCTCGGATGACAAATGGCAAAGTGACAAAAGTTATCCCGAGAAGTGTGAGCATCCTCACGGTCCTCAGAAGGTTAGAGGAATGGGAAAACTCCGGAAGAGCTCCTGTAGGGAATCCCTGGCAGGGAGAACAGCGTCCTCCGTTCCTCCCTGCCACATTAAAAAAAGAAGACTTGAAGCCCTGGATGGCTCTCCTGCTTCTTCTCGGTCATCCTCCTCTTCCTCCCGCACAAAGTCCCTTTGCCGCAAACTCCAGCTGGAGGAGGCTCTTAAAGCAGCCACTGCCGTCAAACCATCTGGTGCTCCAGCCTTGTGCACTGGCTGCTGTTAAATATTCATCGCAAGGAGACTGGGGCTGAGGTTTTAACTCCTTCTCTCCTGCAAAGAGAGCACAGGAAGCCAGCCAAAAAATCAGTGGCAGGAGAGCAGTGTCCCTGTCCGGGCGGGCCAGATTCCTGACATCGCAGGGAGCAAAAGGTGATGCCGAGGAGATCAGAAGCCTTCCAAGGGAGGGTCATTCTGCCACCTCCATCCACTGCCCTTCACCAACAAAAACCCCTCCGTTCAGCAGCCTGCTCCAGGTGGACTGGACTCCCAACTTGTTCAGGATTCTCCAGCTTCTCCTTCCAGCATATTCAGTGAACTGACCCTCCAAGGGGGAACTTTGGGGGTAACTTATTAGCACACTCTGCTTCAGAGGCCAGAATGCGGCAGACTGTCGCGGAGTAATTCGCCACCGCCGCTGAGGTCGCCAACTTTTCAGTCAGCCTCAACAATGACTCCGGCAGCTTGATATATATGGAAACATCAAAGATAAATAAAGCAGCAAAGACAACACTGGCAGTGCTTTTCCCCCCTTTTCTGACAGATGCTTCATCTGCAGCAGACGGTCACTCGGAAGTCTGTGCCAAGCAAAGTCTTTGCTGCTATTGCTGGAGCTCAAGGGCAGGGCTTGGAGGGAGGGAGCGGAGCTGAGTGGATGGAGAAGGTCCCAGTGGCAGTTTCCCCCCTCAGTAGGCAGGGATGGAGAATCTCTCCCTGACGGCATGGACCCACTGCCACAACCCTGAGCCTGATAGATCAAGGTTCTGATCCAACATAAGGCAACTTCTTGGATTCCTCAGGATGTAATTTGCTGGCGCAGGACAGAAAAAAACCATCTTCAGGTTCCTGGCATCTCTACCTAAGGTGAGGAAACATTTCTGTCCAAAACTTGGCAAAGCCATGCCAACTTTCCTCAACTTTGATGTGCTTCAGACATCAGCTCCCATCAACCTCAGCAGGAATGCAGAATGGTCAAGAACATAGTAATCCAAAGTACCTGGAGGGCTTCAAGTTGGGACAAACTGGTATAGAGTAGGAGGGGAGGTAGAGCCTCAGGGCTGGGGAGGCACCACTGGCCCGCCAGATGGCCACACCCTCCTCCCCAGGCCACGCCCATTCCTCCCAGCCACCAATCAATGAGGGCTTCTCGGCTTTTGTGCAATTTTCCATTCTAAAACCAGAAATGCTCCTTCAGAGTCGTAGCTGCTGGCACTATGACCCTTCAGCTAAAACATGAAAGGATTTGGGTCCTGCCTCCTTTCCCTTTGGCCAGGACTAAAATGTGGCCTCTCCTCCCCAAGAGCTTCTCAGAATTGAGACTGAAGCCGAAAAAGGTCTACACTCCTTGGGCAATGCTCAGTGGACCAGTAGTCCTTAAGAGCATCCATAATTAGGACAGAACGCAACCTGCTCAGGGTGCAAAAAGGTCCCACATCAGTTCCCAGCATCCCCATCTAGGGTCAGAAAAGGACCCAGAGCCTTCCCGTTGGTCAGTATGGACCACAGCGTCCTACTTGGACTCAGAAGAATCGTCTCCAGTTCAAATGGCTAATAAAAACACAAGATCTCCAGGATGTCATCTTATGCATGTTGAGATGGACATAAATTCCTACAGCTCCCAGCATTCCAAGCCAGCCACCGCTGATGGGGAACTCCGGGAGCCGGACAATTCTTTTTCTGCCTAAATATGCACTGGAGAGTCCCTTAAGCACCAGAGCAGCCTAGTGGCTCCAAATGCAGTGAAGCCCCTACAGCCTTAACGAGCTACTGGCACTGCTCCTAGTTTAGGGCCGGTGGGCTTGGATCAGCACCATGGAGAGCTCCTTTAAAGCTGGCTTGTTTAACGCTTTTCTATACCGTCCTCTTACCAAATAGTCTCAGGATGGTTTTACACTAAAATAAAGCACAGCATCATTTCTATACAGTAAAGCCCCAATTGAAATGGCAATTTAAACCTTAAAATACTTGGAAAATAAAAAGGGGTTGGCCGAAAAGAATAAAGTGTCGGCGCCAGGCACACCGCTTTGGGAAGCATATTCCACAGCCGGGGCGCCACTGCAGAGAAGGCTCTTCTCTGGGCAGCCACTCTCCTCACCGTCTTCAAGGAGGGCTCCCAAAGAAGCCCCTCCACCCCAGAACTTAAGGGGCAGGCAGGCAGGCACACATATACAAAAGTGCATATATTCAAGGCTATGGTTTTCCCAGTTGCAATGTATGGCTGAAAGCCAGACCATAAGGAAGGCTGAGCCCTCCTTATGCACCCGGGACCAGGACCCCCAGCTGACAGCCTTTAGACACCCAGTTGACCCCGAGATCTTCCAAGGAGGCCTTCTTGGTCAGTCCAAAACCAATATTGTCACCAAGGAGCTGCACGTGGGAGGGCCTTCGTGGTAGTGGCTTGCATCCCCCAGAATACCTTCCCATGGAGTGTGAGAGGCAATGAGTGTGCCAAATTTTAAGCACTCCTGGAAGATCTACATGTTCACAGAGGCTTTTCCTGACATCTGATGGGTTATGACCTTGGCCTGTTTTATGATGCTGTTGTAAAGTTTCGAGCATGTTGCTTTCCTGTTCTTTCATTCTTTGCATTTTGCTTTTCCAAAGCCCACTTAAAGATCTTAGGATATTAAGGACGTTAAGGCAGGATAAATAATAAACTATATTCACTGATTGATGAATGGATGGATTGATTGAAACTGCAGGATCCATGTAGCCAGAGTGACTAGTGTCCATCAATAATCGTACCGGCATCTTGCAGAGAGCAGATGGACTCCAACCGTGAGAAGATTAATCTTCTTCTTTTCTCAGAGGCCTACATATGGCAAGACCCATCGATTTGTTGGAATAATGCAAATGGACCAAGCAGCTGTTTCACTGAAGCAAGGAGTTCTTTGAAGTCCTTTGGCTGCCCAGGAGAGAAAATGAAGAAGTAATCTTAAAAGAAGTTATACAAATCCAACACAAGGCTGAAGATGAGGCTCCTGGCACACAGAGTTTGGAATGGTGCTAAACTCTGGACAAATCAACAGATACTGCAGCCTATGGCTTCACGAGTTTATGGTCACCGCAGGACGTCACCCCAGGAGACCAAGTCTTCATGAACTGCCTCAATATCTGTTTCTCTTCTCATGAAGAAAATGCTTCTTAATAACTGGCTGCTTCTCATACCTGCTGCCCCTTTTCTTTCTTAATAACAGCATGGTGCTCTTTTCAAACCGAATTCACCAGACTTACCTGAGCTGTGCAAGTCTTAATTAGCCAAGGTGCATGGAGTCCTCCCCACTTGAGGTACCCAAGGCAAATGCGTTGTGACAATGAGATAGTAATTTCAGACGTGTTCGCCCCTGCCACTGTTTGTTGCTGCTTCTTGCAGCGCATCCTTGCATTCCTCACTGCCCCCAAAAGCAGACCGAATGCCTTTTCTCCCCGCTGAAGGGCCACGTGGCACTGAGTATTCCCAGTACCGTTTCTGGCCTGCCCATTCTGGGGAACGATGCAGGGACTAGGCCTGCTCTAGCCGCTTCAGGCCACTATAACGTGTGGGCAGTTGCTGGCATCTTCAGGGGAGAAGCCTCAGTCTGATTTGTTAGACGGAAAATGCAGTCCCCAAGATCTTCCTGGAGACATTGGTCCTGAGGCGATGGCAACCTCAGGACGTCTCCCGGAACAGTTTGCTCCAGAAGCCGCTTCTTCCAAGACCAGGATCCTCCGCGGTTGTGGATCCAGGGCACCATTCCATGACAATAACATGGCATTTTCAAGCATCTCTCTCCTTCTCTCTCTGAAGTATTGGTCCTGCCAGAGTTCACATGGGTAGGGCAAAGGGGCCCCCATTTTATAGACCCATATATGTGAGAGCCAGTGATTAAGAGTGTGGGATTGGGACTCAGGTCATCTGGGTTCTGCTCCCTGCTCAGCCATGGAGCCAACTGGGTGACTCTGGGCCAGTCACAGACTCTCAGCCCAGCCTACCTCACAAGACTAAGAGCAGGAGGAGGAGAATGATGTAAGCCCCTTTGAATTCCTAAGCAAAAAAGTGGGATATAAATCTAATATATAAATAGAAATAAATTGTGTGTGTGTGTGTGTGACTTTCCTCACCCCCACTGGCCACCATAACGTTTCAATGATTTGTGCAGGTTTTATTAGTGTTCCAAAGTTTCAGTTTTTAAAGATGGGATGGGGCACAAATCAGGCAATTATTAAATGTATACATATTAAGTTCTCATTAACACAGTCTCCACTTTGCATCCTGGAAAGAGAGCAAAGGATGAATTTAAACACTTTGTGAAAGAGCCAGGGAAGACGCCGTGGCTCCCATAACGCCGCCTTGCCGATCATCGCGATGCTAAACACACTCATTTTTAAGCAAACATCCTTAGGACTGAATCAGGTGAGCAGTTAGCTTGAAACCCAGTCCAGAAATATCTAGCCAGCCCTCAAGCAAACCGATTCTGCATTGTTGCAGAAAGCACGCCGAAGGCTTTGGCTGGCAGAAGTGTCATTCCACCAATGGTTCTGAGGCTTAAAGTGCCTTCCAATTCCTCCTCCTCCTCCTCCTCCTCCTCCTCCTCCTATTTATATTACTGTCTGGTCAGTATGATGCAGAAGAAAGAGCAAGGGCATTTGTAATGCAGATGAGCAATATCGGAGAATGTCACTTTTATATATGCTTTGCAGACAGAAAAGGACAACATGTGCACCAAAACACCTGAGGAACCAAGTGAAAAGATTTGGGCTACTCAGAGAGAGTGCTACACAGCCAAAAGACCCTTTGCTAAATTTGAAAAAAAAAATACAGAGGAGCACATAACAACAGCAGAACAATGCAGACATGAGGGCAGGTGTCCACACACATGCAAAAGGTTGGGCTGGCTGCCTTAAAGCACATTCTCTGGCCACACAAGCTTTAGGAGGCAACCTTTCCACCTTCAAGGCAGATGCTCATGAGCTTCTAAGCTCATAAGCCATTTTCGGCCATCTAATCTAGGG